GTACAGTAGCGACCACTTTGACTTCATCTTTTCTCCATCAGTCCCGTCCAAACGACACGACGAATCCCGCCGCAAACATTGTACATCTCGGCCATTTATTTTACTACATCTGAGCTGCTGCTCTCCTAGTTGGCGTCCGAACGAACGACCGCCGGCCACGCTTGCTTTCTCTGTATCTCGCAACAGGGCTTCTGATCTACGTTGAACTGGAAGGTACTCGCTGTTTTCGCACGTTCTCCTGTCTTCCGAGCACAGATATCGTGTTGCTGATATGTAGACCAATCAAATCTCCGTAGTTGTTGCTTCATCGCAGTCCCCCGGCCTCCCGCCGCAAAATGTGACTTCACGCGCTCCCAATACTACCTACACTTTTTTTTCTGCGCTTCCCCGCTTCCTCCGAGTCGTTGAATGCAGATCGGGCCCCCGAACGTACTGCGGCATTATCTGCAGTCGAATAGGCAGAGTCTGCATCAAATGCCGATTCTACGAGAGTTTTTGGGGCCGGTAAAAAGTGTTGCAAAAAACCACTAGATTTCCTGTTTATGGCTCAGGCCTGAGTCGAACAGGCTTTCTCTGTGTTGATTTCCTGATCACACCACACAAGAAATGCAGATGCGCTCCACACGCTACCGAGCCTCTTTATGCCTTTTTTTACCTTCTATATATTTATTCGTTTGGGCTGGTTTAAAAGCGTGGCGGAAAAAGTTGGAACTCTTCAGGGGCATGGCTCGGGCCTGAGTCGAACAGGCGGAGTCTGCATCAAATGCCAATTCCAGGAGTACCTTCAAGTGCAGATGCGCACCGCGCGCTACCCAGCTGTTCTGTGTATCTTCTTTCTTTTTCTATATCAGCTTTGGAGCTGATAAGAACGTAGCCAAAAAAAAAAAATGCTGCTGCGATATGGCTGAGGCCTGAGTCGAACAGGCAGGATCTGCAACAGTGGCATTCATTGTGCATTAGATGTAGATCCGCACCACACGCTACCGAGCCTTTCTGTATATCTTTGTACCTTCTTTATATTCAACTTTTGAGGCTGATGAAATACTGTAGCAAAAAAAAAGATGGAGCACTTCGCGAGCTATGGCTCGGGCCGCGGAATCTCCTGCAGGAACACTTCTTTTATCAATACATTGAGATACACGCGAACCGTTCGCTACCGAGCCTTTCTACGCATTTTCTTACCTTCCTCATATTCAACTTTTTAGAGCTGATAAAAAGCGTAGCCAAAAAGCACACATATATGAACTATGGCTTGGGCCTGAGTCAAACAGCCTTTCTCTGCAGAGAATGACCGGCTCAAACGTGTGCAAGAGATGTACATGTACACCGCGTTCCACCAACTTTCTGTGAATCCTCTTACCTGATATAATTAAAACTCAGGTAGCAAAAAAAAGACAGATCGATTTGACGCATGGCTCGAGCCTGAGTCGAACAGGCGGGATCTGCATCAGCTCGTGTGATCTTATCGATGTATTGAATACAGACGGGCACCGCGCGCTACCGAGCCGTTCTGTATTTTCTTGCCTCTCCGATATTCTTGGAGCTGATACTTAAAAGGGCAAAATACTTCGCCGCGTCAGCTGGGCGGGGCGGTGAGGCTGCGGTGCAAAAATTAATTAGCGCCGGCCATGCGTTCTAAGGTGTGTCATCCCACCATTATTGGCAGAGGGGCTACACACACAGTGGTCAGGAAGGATGGCGAAGGCACAGCGTTGAATGATGGTACCTACCCTATGGTTTGTGCCACGGAAGGAAATTTGGACGCGGCGTGGACGCGGCGATGATGCGGCGGTCTGCGGCGGGACGCAGCGAAGTGCATGGTAACTTCGCCGCGGAAATGGCCTCGGACGCGGCGATACCGCCGCGTCGTGCGGCGGTATGCGGCGCGTCAGCGTGCGGGACGCGGCGTGTTCAAAATATGCCGCGGCGCTCACCACACTTGACGCGGCGCTCACCACACTCGACGCGACGCTCAAAATATTAGATGCGGCGGTACCTTAGCGGTACCGTGGCTTGACCGCGGCTTCATCCCACTGAGTCCGTTCTCAGCCTTTGACTTATCTGACCTGTTGTTGACCAACTTAATAACTAATCCTTGCACGAATAATGACCGACCTTCCATTGCTCTCCTAACTGTCACCATAACACTTTTCAAATCCAAACAATTTCGAAAACAATATGAAGCCTGATTCAGTGAATATGTCGGCGGCTTTTCGGAAACCATTATGGAGAGTTACATGCAATTTGAATGAGAGCACCAGCGATGCGGCGCGGCGCGGCGCCGGGTCAGTGCTTCCGTGCCGACCTCGCTGTTGAAACTGCCTAGGCCCACCAAAATTTCCTAGGATATGTATTTAATCTAGATGGCTTCATTAAACCCACAAATTGATTGAAATTCCTCTCCGTATGTCCTCAACGTTGTTCACGATTTGAAGGCTGATTGCACAGCCACTTGTTGGAGATATGTATTATCTACAACTCATGCTCATCAGTTTTGTATGTTCTACATGCCCCCAACCTCACCGAAAACAAGTGTTTTATTTGCACAAGGTTTGTTCCATGTCTGTCTACACCGCTTAATGCTTACCTTATGTTTTTTTTGCCCAGGACCTTTTTTTGGAGTTGGATTGGGTTGCGCAATTGGAGTGAAGAACACTAGTTAGGAACATGATAAATAGTTCCATAAACTACTTGGATGTAAATATTCAGCATGAATTCATTGATTTTGGTGGCATATGATTTATAAAACATTGGATAATTGTGTGATAATGTGAACACAAGAGCCAGAAAGCTCACGAGAACTTTGCGGAAAGTTGGCGAGATGTCAGTGAAATTTGGGAAGATTTGGTCGGGGTAGCATAATTTGGAGATCTTTTACGAAACCAAGGTACAGTAATTGCCATAATTTGAGGGAATGTTGGCGAAATTACATTAAATTACCGCGGGAGGCTTTCCCTGATGTGTCAGCTCTTCGCCAGCCGATCTAAACCACCGACAGCCATGAAGCGGTCCTGGCCAGGCCGTTAGAACCGAAAAAGGACCAAAAGTTTGAAAGCAAAACTCACCATGACAGCCTGCGGCAGCCAACCCGCAACAAAGCGAACAAGCCCAGCGTTCGACCCCCTCCAGACCGTCCCGCTCTTACCGGAGGCTAAAATGTCGGGAACTAGCTCCTCGGCGAGGCGCTCGGGCGGCATCATGCCCGCAAGTCCGCCCTTTTCACGGGCCCAGAGGAGAATAGCATCGCCGATAGAAACGTACCGCGAGCCCGGCGGCAACGGCCTCGGTGCTTCATTGGCGATGAAGACGGTTGCCACGCCGCCCAGCATGACCGTCAAGACCGAGACCCCAAAGGGCGCGAGCTCGAGGCGGAGCGTCTCGGAGACGCGGTGCAGTCCGGCCTTGGACGCGCTATAGGCCCCTGTTTTCAATCCTGTCAGCAGCAAGCTTCTCTCGCAGAGGGAATAAGAGAAAGAGAAGACTGACCATTCCAAGCCATATTCGTAACCGACCCAACACTGCTCACATTGACGACCTTTCCCCGCGCCGCGATGATAAGGTCTGCAAACGCTTGCACCGTCCGCAGCGTGCCCCACAGGTTGATGTCATGCAGCCGCGCCGCCTCGTCGACGTCCGTGTCGAGCAACGGCATCGTCAAACCCACGCCGGCGTTATTGACGAGCATGTCGAGCCCAGCCGCGCCTGGCAGCTCGGCCTCTAGTATGCGGGCGACTTCCTGCGCGCAAGCGCGGACCGAGGCGCTGGAGGCTACGTCGAGCGGGAGTACCGTGACATTGTGCAAGGCCGCCAGGGCGGCGGGGATCTTGGCTGTGGTGCGCGCCGTGGCGAAGACGTGGTGGCTGGGGTCGCGGCAAGCGAGGGCCTTCGCAAGGGCGGCGCCGACGCCGCCGGCGGAGCAGCCTGTAATGAGAATCGTCTTGCGCTTGGGGCTGGGGTTGTCTGCTGGCGCCATTGTTTGAGGTGTGGGGTTTGTGGTGTTTCTTATTGGATGCGGTGTGCGTCCGGGGAGTCAGCTAACTACTTCCTAGTTGCTTAACCTTTAGGTTAGGCTATTTATTAGATGAACTTGGAGTTGCGTCAACGGGCCCGTCGAGGTGGTCGTTGGTCATACTTATTATGCGGAGGCGGTGACTGAAATTGTAAACATTGTTTCAACGGGCCCGTGGAGGTGGTCGTTGATCATACTTAGCGTACTTGTTATGCGGAGGCGGTAACCAAAATTGTAAATATTAATGATGACCTCGACACAACAAACAGAATCCGGTACCACGCAATCGAGCGGTTTTAGTTTTACGGTTTAAATATAAATTTACATAAAGCTGAAAAGGCCGACAAGCGGCACGGACCGAGCCGCGACGGCTGCTAAGCAGCGCTCAGCCATCATCCCGAGTTCAATTCAGTTGGGCATCGCGCTTGCTCCATCAATACTTCTCAATACCAAAATCGATTGAACCATGGGGAAAGAAATTCTAAACATAATTCCGACAGGACACAATCAGCGGGAGCATCTATCACCAAGAAAAAATAGAGAGCTTAACCAACAAGATGATGGCTCGGCCCTCTGTCGAACGAGTGTTTCCTGCAGGGAACATATTGCTGACTTTCATGAAGTGCGGGCGTACCGCCCACCACCGAGCCAGTATCCACCAAATTTCACAGGATACAGGCAATGAAACTCATTGAGCCCCTGAAGAGTGGTCCAGCAGAAGTCAGATGCTGATACCAGTGATGTCGTCTGCAACACAAAATCAGAGGTGGGCACACACTGAAAAAAAGAGTCAAACGATACCAGATTGCATTCACCATATGGCTCGTGCAGGAGCTGAACAGGTGAGTCTGCGGCAACTGTTGTTTTCTCAATGGATGGAGGGTAGATGCGCACCGCGCGCTACCAAGCCGTTTGTGTATTTTCTTGCCTTCCTGATATTCTTTTGGAGCTGATAAAAAGCATAGCCAAAAAGAAATCGATGATACAAATATGGCTCGGGCCTGAGTCGAACAGGCAGAGTCTGCAGAAACTGCTGCTTCCTGAATTCGATGCAGATGCGCACCGCGCGCTACCAAGCCTTTCTGCGTATCCGTTCACCTTCATTAAATTCAGCCTTTTGGGACTAATAAAAGGGATAAAAGAATTCATCCCTGATCACTATGGCTTGGGCCTGATTTGAACAGGCTTAGTCTGCAACCGATCGACCTGCCGAAATAGATGCAGATGTGTTCCACGCGCTACCGAGCCTTTCTGTATATCTTCTTTCCTTCTTTATATTCGACTTTTTGAAACTGATAATGACAAAAAGCGTAGGAAAAAGAAAATGCTGCTGCAAACGAATATGGCTCGAGCCTGAATCGAACAAGCTTTCTGTGTAGTGACTTTATTTCGGTTTTTAACCATCAAGTGGAGATGCGCATCGCCCGCTACCGAGCCTCTCTGAATTTTCTTACTTTCACTATATTCAACCTTTTGGAACTGATAAAAGCATAGCTAAAAAAAGCTGGACTGATTCAACCCATGGCTCGGGCCTGAGTGGAACAGGTGGAGTCTACAATAGCCTTTCATTTAATGCAGATGCGCACCGACTACGAAGCCGTTCTGGATATCCTCTTTTCTTACTCAAAAAGTAGGGGAAAAAAATTGATCCGGTTCAAACCGTGGATGGCTCGGGCCTGGGTCGAACAGGCGGCATCTGCAGTCACTGCCGCGGCGGTTTCATCGCATTATATGCAGGTGTACACCACGCGCTACCGAGCGTTTCTAGCTTTTTTTCCCCCTTCCTCACATTCAATCTGCCCGACACACCAAACGCAGATACGCACCCCGCGCCTCCGAGCTTTTCTGTGCTACGTCGTAGTCATTTTTGAGCGCTGATTAAAACGGGAGCAAAACTATTTCGGAGGATGGCCTGTGTCAATCTGGCTCAAGAAACGCAGGCGCGCATGGACGCGTTGTTGTGCCTTCTTTAGCTCTTCACGTGTTGCGCCGCAGTCACGAACTCTCATCAAGCCCACCTAGTACTGTAGCTAAGTACAATACGGCGGCAGCTGCGCCTGTACCCACGCACATGAGAATCTGGATGCCCGTTTCCTCCGATGTCACGGTTCGCCTCGCCAGACACCAGAAAGCTCACCGCCGAGGATGAGCACGCGGCACGCCGCAGATTCCAATGAGCCCGCGATATACAAGCTCATCCCGGGCGGGGGAAGGGTTTCGGCTACGGCCGCTGCAGGCGGATAAGTCTATGTATGTGCAAACGCCGACGCAGTTTCCGACACGCGCACCGGTACAAGCACGAGCTCGATTGACACGATGCTCCCCTGGCAGTGCCGGCGCCCGCCCGTCTCGCACGATGCGCCAACGCGCCACCACCACGCGTTTCCCCTGCGGCCGTGTCCAGTGGCAGCTCCTCCGAGGCGGCATCATCCGCAACTGAGCAATCCCACCCGTCGCTCCACACCGCTCGCACCTGAAGACGCCCGAGAGCGCGCGCACGCAGCATGCCGCGTGGCTCATCTTGAACATCAACTTCCTGGAGGCCACTACCGCGTTTGGCTCGTCTGGTACCACCTCCTGTTCCCCCACCTACGCGTTCCACTCCCAATCCACAGAGTACCAAACCAGAACCAAATTTCAATCCCCCACTCGACGCCTACATGCGCTCAAATCTTCCCCTCCATCTTGCAAATCTACACGCGGTCCTGCGCAGGATGAATGCGCGCAACTACGGCGTGCGCTCGCACAGCAGACATATCCCACCCGGACACGCGCACACCGGCTAGTGGAAGATCGTGCCGAGTGCGACTGTGGTGCTGCGGTGTGAGTGAAATATCGAGAATAAAGTGTTTTGAGGGGGATTGGGTGCGTTCTTCGTTGTTTTCTTCTTGAGGATGGCGAGGTGCTGGAGCGCGTTGCGGCTTTCGTCTTCCAGGTTTCGGGCTTGGTGCTGTGGTTGTATATTCGGCGGCGGGTCGCAGCGTGTTCCGCGTTTAGCTCAATCATATTGTGTTGGCTCCGCGGAACGGCGAGACGAGACGAGTGCGGCTGTCTTGTATCGTCCTGGGTGGGCTTTACTGGATTCTAACTGACCCATGACGCCCGCCTCCCCAATGCGTCCCAGAGACAGCTGGCGCGCACTGCGCTGGATGGGTGCGTTTCCCATCATTCGTATCTACTCGTTTCTTTCGTGTTTTTCTTTAATTCAATGGCGTACCCCTTTCTCGTGCGTCTTCCCCATCTTGCTTCAGCGCGACTTGTGCTAAGTATTCTTCTCGCAGTGCACGCTATTCTATCTAATTTCCCACGGGGCCACTTTGGCGCGTCATTCCTTCTTTTCTTGTCCTAGCCTTCCGCACCGCGGGGTTAGCAAAACTGAGCTCAAGCGAGGGCCGTTTCAGCTTCCGGTCTTGTTTCAATACCAGTGTAACCCATAGTATGCCAAGGTCCAATGACCGGTCATTCTGGGAAATATACCGAGATGTACCGTCGCTCCATAGATCTCAGCACATAATTGCAAGCCAAAAAAAGAATGGACGATACAAAATATGGCTCGGGCCTGAGTCGAACAGGCAGAGTCTGCAGAAACTGCTGACTCCTCTATGGATTGAGGGCAGATGCGCACCGCGCGCTACCGAGCCTTTCTGTATATCTTCTTACCTTCGATATATTCGACCCTTTTGGGCCGATAAGAGCGTAGCCAAAAAAAAATGCTGCTGCGATATGGCTCGGGCCTGAGTCGAACAGGCAGGATCTGCAGCAGCGGCATCCATTGTGCATTGGATATAGATGCGCACCACACGCTACCGAGCCTTTCTGTATATCTTTGTACCTTCTTTATATTCAACTTTTGAGGCCGATGAAAAATTGGAGTAAAAAATGTGGAAGGATTTCAAATTATGGCTCAGGCCTGAGTCGAACAGGTGGAATGTAACATGTTCTACCTCAGTGCATTGTATGCAAATGCGCACCGCGCGCTACCGAGCCTTGCTGCCTATCTTCTGATTTTTCCGATACTCAACTTTTCTTGGCTGATAAAAATGTCGAAGACTTCGTTTCCGACGACGGGGGGCTCGGGCTCGAGTTGAATAACTTTTTTCTGCAGAGATTTTTTCCACGCCACGTAAGAAATGCAGGTGTGCACCCCGTGCTACTGTGCATTTCCTTACCTTCTTTATATTCATTCTTTTTTTGGCTGATGAAACACGTAGCAAACAAAACTGCATGGATTGCGCATTGGATGTAGATGCGCAACATCCGTTACCGAGCCATTCTGTGTGATTTCCTGCCTTCCTGATATTATTTTGGAGCTGATAAAGGAGCGTAGCGAAAAAAATGGAGGTTATCGGCTTATGGCTCGGGCCTGAGTCGAACAGGCCGAGTCTGCAGAATTGCTGTTTTCTGAATGATTGAGGACAGATGCGCACCGCGCGCTACCGAGCCTTTATATACATTTCTTATCTTCTTTATATTCAACTTTTTGGAACTGAATAAAGATAAAAGCACAGCAAAAAGAAAAATGCACCGTAATTGAATATGGCTCGGGCCTGAGTCGAACAGGCAGAGTCTGCAAGAAACTGCTGCTTCATCGACGTATTGGATGCAGATGCGCACAGCACGCTACCGAGCCCTTCTGCGTATCCTTTCACCTTCATTAAATTCAGCTTTTGGGGGCTAATAAAAACGGATAAAAGAAAATATTAATTTCCCGAACGACTATGGCTCGGGCCTGATTCGAACAGGCTTACTCTGCAACTGATAGACCTGCTGAAATAGATGCAGGTGCGCTCCACGCGCAACCGAGCCTTTCTGTATATCTTCTCTCCTTCTTTATATTCAACTTTTCAAAGCTGATAATGACAAAAAGCGTAGGAAAAAGAAAAATGCTGCTTCAAACGAATATGGCTCGGGCCTCGAACAGGCTTTCTGTGTAGTGATTTTGTTTCTGTTTTTAACCATCAAGTGCAGATGTGCACCGCCTGCTACCGAGCCTCTCACTGCATTTTTTTACCTTCACTATATTCAACCCTTCGGAACTCATAAAAAGCATAGCGAAAACGGCTGGGCTGATTCATCCTGTGGCTCGGGCCTGAGTGGAACAGGCAGAGTGTACAATAGCCTTTGCTTCTCGACTCATTGAATGTAGATTCGCATCGACTACGGAGCCATTCTGGGTATCCTCTTTTCTTCCTCATACGCTGATATTTTCTTACTCAAAAAGTAGGGGAAAAAACTTGATCCCGTTCAAACCTTGGATGGCTCGGGCCTGGGTCGAACAGGCGGAGTCTGCAGCCACTGCCGCGGCGGTTTCATCGCATGATACTTATGCAGGTGCACACCACGCGCTACCGAGCCTTTCTATGCATTTTCTTTCCTTCCTCTTATTCAATCTGCTCGACACACCAAATGCAGATGCGCACCCCGAGCCTCCGACCTTTTATGCGCTACGTTGTAGGCTTCATTTAATTTTTGGGTGCTGATTAAAACGAGAGCAAAACTGTTTTCCTACGAAGGATGGCCTGCGTGCGCCTCTACTCACACATGAGAATCTAGATGCCCGCTGTAGTAGTGAGGATGTCTTGGGACGGTCGTGGTCTAGCCGTAGTTGACGCTGTTTGTCTATAGCTTATGTCATCATCTTGCTTGGTTTCTGCGCGCGTCTTAGCTAGCGCACAGCGAGCCTGTGGACCACTCCACCCTTTCCTCCGATGTCACGGTTCGCCTCGCCAGACACTACTGGAAAGCTCGCCGCCGAGGATAAGCACGCAGCACGCCGCAGATTCCAAAGAGCCCGCGGTGCATAAGCTCTCCCCGCGCGGATAACTCCATGTCTGTACAAACGTCGACGCAGTTTCTGACACGCGCTCGAATGCCGATATATACCGGTACAAGCACGAGCCCGATTGACACGACGCTCCCCTGCCGGCGCCCGCCCGTCTCGCACGATGCGCCAACGCGCCACCACCACGCGTTTCCCCTGTGGCCGTGCCCGGCGGCAGCTCCTCCGAGGCGGCATCATCCGCAACTGAGCAATCCCACCCGACGCATACGCCATTTCTCGACGCTTCACACCGCTCGC